AGTTGGCTGGAAAGAGACATTAGAGTGGAAGTAAGCCTCTGCTCACATTGCCTGTTTTTCATGGAGCTTCTAAAGGATTTTGCTTTTAAAACAAAAGCCATACATATTGATTACTGTGATGCACTGGGATGTATAAGTCCAATACTAACAAGTATTGACTAGAAGAGGCCGTTACCATTGATTTATGTTCACTCAATATAATGGGTAGGTGTGCTCAAAGCACATTTATAGGTAGATCTGATTGACAGCCTATTTATCCTGCTTCAATTGACATGACAGCTGAGTGGTTTATTATTCTGCTTGACCACTCAGCTGCAAACCAACTCTTGTCCTTCTCCATTGCGGCATAGCAAAACATTGGCTAGTAAAACTCCCCGGTGTTTGCCTATCTGGTCAACCACTTACTGATATTTTTCTCTATATCTTGAGCGGGAAGATATATAGAAATACATAGAAAGAAAAGTGAAAGGTAGAAGGCAAGAGGGACAGAGATGAGGGTGAAGAGGATAAATAGGAATAAAGCAGGAATGAAGAGGGAGGAGATTTATGCCAGAGTTCATCCTCGTTCATGCTTGACTCTCCCCTGATTGAAGGGAAACATTGGCCCCACTGATACAGTGCTTTCCTTGGGACAATAAATCTACGTGAGTACAGATAAAATAGAGAGAGCTTATCTTGCACAGTGGTGTCAGAGCCCAGCATTCTAAAGCTGTTATCGCAGACACTCGCACACAATATATGGTGTGAGAAATGCAGTCTAACAGATATTCAGCATAGGCGTACAATACAGGAACATAGGTGATAGATCCACTATAGCTCTGGACGTTATACAAAGCATTGAGTGCATAGTGCACAAACTGTATGTGTTAGTGGAACTGCATTTTTATGTGTATCAATTTCACACATAACTCTGCCGTTATTCTTTATAACATTGTAGTTATTGCGTTTTGGATTTGAAAGATTTGGATGGAGACCATATCGTCAGTTTAACTACAAAGATAGACTTCCATTTTTGATGGAAGTCTATCTTGTTTGTGCTCTTCCTGACATGTAATTTCTGCTCATTAGTAATCAAATTTCCAGAACATTTTTCCTGGAACATCGTCTTGGTCTTATTATTGACGTATGATGTCAAACGTTAAAATTACCGGAGCATTTATCTACTGAAGTGCATTTTGTGAAAAGGCGATAAAGGAGAAACTGAAGCCCAGGATAAAAGTCATCGCAGTCTGGAAACTGACTCCCTGTCTAATGTGTTGTGGATGGTTTGTCATCAGTGTTCACTGTTCTCAGCATAAAAGACCTCATTAACGTGACTATGGTATTGATGGTCCGGTAATAGTGGTGTACTGATTGCAGTGGTAAGGGGTAATAAAGATTCAGGAGGTATTGCTGTACAGTAGCTCATTTTAAGTTGTACTTGAACTCCATTTGCTGGATGATTCGTAATATTGGCAGCCAGTGCTCATTTCTAATGGAAACTATTGATGTAAGCTAGTCATTAACCCCCGGTAGTGTCTGAGATTCGGTGGGATGATACTCACAGACAAAGTTAAAGCAAAGACACTGCCAATATAAACTTGTTGAAGAAGTACTCTGTAGGAAACTTGGACTTTGGCTAATTGGACAAGTTGTGTGGGTATTGGTTAGCTGATCACCACATTCTGAGTAGACCAACAGGTTGCAAACTCTAACCTCATACAGTAAATGTGCATCTCTTTGTGTTTGGTGTGGGTGTTGTGCACCTCTCCATGCAACAGTTTATATATTTACATTACATAAATACCGTTTTTTTTGTGCTCAAGATTTGGCTCTTAGTGCACGTTTCTTTAAGAGCTTGGTGTTTTTTTTTCTTACCTCTAAGGCTGTGTTTTTCTTCTGTGTAGGTGTGCCAGTGCACACATTTGGCTTTGTTCTGCTTATGTCCAAACATGTAATCATCCCTTAATATTGCTTCACTCCCACAGCTTTTGAGGCTGACTCAAGCAAAAGAGGGGCTGGCTGCCAAGACCCTCTCATGGCTCCTTTCATCCCACTTGATTAATTCTCATCTTCATTAAATTGTTTTTATCATCAAGACGTTTTGCCTTCTACTTGATGGATTCATTGACAACGAAAGATAGCAAATATTATTCTTTCATTTACTTTATTTTGTGGGCAATACTGTATGCAGCTCATTTAAAACTTTTTGTAGTTGTAATGTGGAACTGATCTAAAATTCAACTAATATTCAATTTGAGTATTAAAATGTTCATTAATAAGACTCACAATATGAATTAGAAAAATTCACCCCAATTACAGAGGAAAATATAATTTAAATAGCTGCGAGGACATATTTCATTACATTTTAAATACTGAATATAGAGGCACATTTTCTGATGAAAATCAAGCCTGCAGAATAACAAATGCTTGAAAATATCCATATTGCATATCAAACAGTGGCGACAAGCCATATTAATGTTCCTATTAAAGGGATAATAAGGGAAAGCTAAAAAAGATAGAGAAAAGCACTTCATTATGCATGTTTCATTCGTAAAAGGAACGTCAGTATCAGGTTTTTGATTAACCATAGCTATATGTTAAGATTACATCATGTTGAACACGGAGCTTCAGAAACCTTCAAAGTTTTTATCATGAAATGTCCCTCATTGCATATGAATGGAGACAGTGGGAGAAGAGCCAGAAAAAAGTAATGTTTCTCTTTGAGCTTCTTGTTGCTCTCAGTATTCTGTTCACCAGGGAGTGAGGGAGGTGTTGAGTGTTGGGATTTGGGGGGTTGGTGGGGGTGGAGTGTGATTGGAAGTAGTCAGGGTCTTTCATTTTGTCATGTGGTGTCTTTTTTCATTTCTGGGCTGATTTTTCACTGGAGGGCTAGTTTCATTCACTTGAATTTATTATTTCTCGCACTGAGGAAGTTGATGAATTTCGAATATCTGTGAGCGAGTTTGTGTGTGCCTCTGTGCGCATTAATGCTCGCGCGGGGGTATGTGTGTGAGCATGTGCGACGTGCAACTTTCAGTGTGTGTGAGGGAGGGACGCTTTCATGGCTGTTTCAGATCTCTCTGCCTCACAGTTTGTCAGAGCGAGGGAGCCGGGAGGGAGAGAGAGAGAGAGAGAGAGATGGAGAGATAATGGGAATGGAGGGTGAAAGAAGGGTAACACAATCTTTAATGAGTTTCCTTGGCTGTCTTTGCCTGTTTCTGGGTCAGGGTCCCCTGACTAAGGATGTGGGTGGACTGAGGAATATGAAGCAGAAAATAACAGACTAAGCCAAGGTCTGCTGAAATAGACTCCTACATTAAAGAGTCATCACCTTCATAAAGACATAAAGGACGACAAGCTCGACAATGTTTCAAGTTTCTTTTCTTGTTTAGACAGCAGAAGATGAAAGTTTTTTAAAACAGCTAATGATCTTCTTCCGGCTCCTGATTGCACCCACACGAACACAAACTGAAAGGAGGTTACTCTGAAAGGTCAGTGGTCACCTAAGGTTGTACTGCCTCTGCTCAATTAGCAGCCGTTTACGAAGTTAGCACAAGTTGTAACTTTTTTCTGATGGGAAGCAGCACACTCACAAACATACAAAGAGAATTCTCCGGCATCATACCGACATACACAAACACTTTCACCACAGTACACAGACAAACCCTCCTCCTTCACAATGACTTTGGTCAGTTTCTGATTGGCTGCCCCTGCCCTTTCATTTCCTAGCAATCAACTTCAATCTGTGGCAGGTATGGAGGGAGAGATAACATTAGAGAGACATCGTGGGGAGATATCTGCTCAGCCGAGACATTATTTAGTGCTCCCAAAGCATCCAGGAGGCAACCTCTGTCAGACAACAAGGCTCCAGCATGTCCACACAGGACTGGGAGACGGGTAGATAGAAGGACATGGAAGAATTACTGATGGGCTGATAAACTCTTTTGCTATCCGAACAGTCTGCCTTCCTGTTTCTGTCCTCCTGTGCTATGTTTCCGTCTGTCTGCCCAACTGCATTTCGATGTCTCAATCTATGTCTGTCTGGCCGAGTTACTTTTACCGTCTCTCTCTGTTCTCCCTCCGTCTCACCTTCAGTTCCTCAGTGTATCGCTCTCCCTACTCTGCCTTCTTTCTTTCCCACTTGTGAATAATTGATGTCTACCGGTTCGATGGTAAGAATAGAACAGTTCTGGAGGTGACAAATGGGTTGGCGTATAGGCTTCATCCTCTTCTCTTCAAAGAGTTAGAAAGTTAGCCGTGCTCGCTCGTGGGCGTGTATGCCCATATATTTGTGTGCTTGCAATGTTTTGTTGCACTGCAAGCATGTGTTTGTGTGTGAGCGAGTGCACGCACATATGCCGTGGTGTGTATGTGATTTAAGACAGGGAGATGAAAGGGAGTTGTAATTACAGGGAAGCGTATCTGTCTAGTGCAGAAGTATCCGAGGAATGGCACAAACTGGGCCAAAAGCCTGAGGTCATTAGATGTGCTGCATGTGTGTGCGCATGTGTCTATGAGCTAGTGTGTGTCTCTGTGATAGAGACAAAAGCAAAGAGAAAGGGAGGGAGCAAGAGAGAGACTGTGAGACAGAGAGAGAGATCAGCTTATAACTTCAGTTCCTCAGAGTCAACCTCTGAACTCTGCTTCTCATTATTGGCTCTGCCTCTCTCTGGTTTCTCAGCAGTAGCTGGTTGTGGTTAGACCGAGCAAGGCCGAGTTTCTGTAAATCCATGCAGCCTTATTGCCTGAGAGGAATCCCAGAATTTCCTGTGCTCTAAAATACACTTGTGTAAACATTCCAAAATATCAAATGATAGGGATTTCACTGTGTGCTGTGTGAGTGGATAATCCCATGCAAAGACTGTGGTTATAATACACTGTCCCTCTGTCTCTTGTCTGCTTTTCTTTCCCACACAACCCATTTCTTATCTCTCTTTCTGGGGATTTCTGCCTCTGTTTTCCCTCCATTCATCTTCCCTTTCATCTGATCCTCACTTCCTCCATCTCTCTCTTCGCAGTTGACGATGACTTCATTGGTCTTGGCGATCTTCCGGAGACATTCCCTTCAGACCCCCCTGAGCCTCTGCCTGTGTTCTTGATGGAACCGGAGGAGGCCTATATAGTGAAGAACAAGCCGGTCAACCTGTACTGCAAGGCCACGCCTGCAACGCAGATCTACTTCAAGTGTAACAGCGAGTGGGTTCACCAGAAGGAGCACACTGTGGAGGAGCGGGTTGACGAAAACTCTGGTGAGTAAAATATTTGTTTTGATGAACATAATGACATCAATTCATACCACATACCACTGCAACCTTTTTATAATTCATGTCTTTTATTTGTTTTGCCAACAATTTCCACTCCTGGTATTTTTATGCTTTGGTTTGACTAACTCAAAACAGGACTAGTGAAAGATCATAGTATTGGTTAAATATTGAATAAACTTAACCTGAAGCATGACACAACATTTATTGTTTGTTATGTCTTAAAATGCACCCCTGATTCCATCCTATGACTTCTGTGTACTGTAAGTGCATCCCACTTCCTGGAAAGGCACACATTTTCAGTATTCAGGTAGCACATGTGGGCATTATTATCTTTTTTGGTGGGTGGGCAATGTCTCTTTTCTTATCGCTCTAAAAGCTAGTTTGTTTGATCAAAAGTGACATCACCTTATCTGCAGGCTGACTAGCCTGATTCAGAGTTTCACAATAAGAAAATCTTTCTTATTTTTTGGGGCATCCTCACACTTCAACTTATTGTGTGTGTGCCTTTGATTGTGTGTTTATGTTTGTACACTTCTAGTGGAAGTAAAGGTAGTGAAGCTCAAGCAGGGTTCAGCCCCTGAAGGCACCAGAGCCATTACACACAACAGCCTAGCACTGATTGGCTGCATTCAGCTCCTTTATAGGAAATTGAGTTATTTCTGTCGCCCACAGGTACCAATCACATCGCATTTACCCTTTTCATCCCACTGTTTTGCCACACACACGTCTGCATGCTCAGACACAGACAACCGGACAGCTGCTCCATCACTTTGATTTAAATGTTTAAGCACACACTTATAAACCCTTCAAGGTCTGTTTGTTGTGTGTTGCAAGTGCTCTTTTACTGAACTATATGAAAAATACAGCATTGTTGCAAGCATATAAAAGGCGTATTGAAAAAAAGACCTGAATGGCAACTTCAAATTCTTTCACTTTGACCTGGTGTACTTTAGGAAGACTTCACAGATCTGAGGATGTATTTCTTGGTTTTGATTATGACAAAGAAGATGGCGAAGGTATCAGTGGTTCTTAGCCTTAATGTCAGAAGGTTTTATGCTAAAAGCATCAACATAGAAAACATCCCACACATCCCACAAGCACCCACTCTACACCGCCATATCCACAGGCTATTTACTGCACAGATATTCATTCATTTATGCCCTTGCGCCCCCCACATAAACACACACACACACACAACAACAACACCGGAGCCCAGTGGATGTGTGTAGCCTTTCTCAACCCACTCCTTTGCTCTCTGATTTCCCCAGATTGACAGAAAAGGAGCACTGATAGAAACTGGCCAGTTCGGTCAATACAACTGACAGTGTAGCTTGAAGAAATGGGATAACTCCCTCTCTCCCTTTCTCTCTCCACACCCCCTGTTTCTGTTTTTATTACGTCCTGTCTCTACGTCTCACTTTCATGTTGGCGAGAGCTCATGATCTTGTAAAAATAATGAGAAATAAGAGATAATGAGATTAAGAAAGTGCCAGAGACTGAGGACAGGAACTGCAAATATCTGTGTTCAATTAGGCTACAGGCGAATCTCTATCCAGATGTTGGAAATGCTCACAAGACAACTGCGTTCTTGCTTCACTTCATATAAATAAACAGGGACAACAGAGAAGTTTGTTTGTATGCATCAAATTAGTTTGGAACTTTAAATAGAGCACCGGTATTGAAAGGCTTAACAATAGGGTTGGAGTTTAAATCTACCAAATAATAACAATAATTTTCATAAAGGCATGCGTCATAGAAAAGCAACTTCCTACTGAAAGTATCATTTGTGTGGCATCAGTAGTTGCAATGTTATTAGCAATAGGGGGCTTGATTCACTGACAGCCTTTCCCTGCACAATGGTTTCACAGCAAGAAACAACTTACCTACAGCTCTCCCTTGGGCCTTTTAAAGAGACCTCATGCCGGTAATATGCCTGTCTAAAGTATTTTTAATTGGATGTGACACAAAGTGGGCCATGTGTTGCGAAAGTGACACTAGCGTGGTTTAATTTCTACAATTTCAAATAGCAATGCTTTGTCGATTTGGGAGTTGAAACACATGCCTCTGATGTAAAAGCAAGCAAGTTGTTCTTTTGTTAAGGTTCAGTTTGCTCAGAATAAGGAAGTTTCATTTGTGTAAACAATTGACCATGAGCCACTCTGATGTAAACTCAGATATTGAATAGGAGCATACATAAAAATAAGCCAGAGATTGCACGTACAAAATGTGACTTAGCAGGAGGCAAGAATGAAAAGGTGTTGAGAAGGAACAAAGCACAAAGGCAATTTTTACAAATGGCCTCCGGCACTGATGATTTAGCTTCAGAGAGTCACTATGTTGTCACCTGAACACGGTACCATTTACCTCCCAGTGTTGAGGGCAGTTGTGAGCAAAACGAGCATTGATCTGAGCGGCACATTCATTATAGTATAGTAGAAACTACTAATGTAATATACACTGGAGACAGCTTGTCACTCTGTTTGAGATATGAGTTAGAAGATCAAAGATGAGTACTCTTCATCTGGTCGGATAATCCCAGCACTTACCCCCCTCCTCCTCCTCCTCCTCCTGAGACTGCCAAGGCACACCTCCTTCAACGACCAATGCCTCCTTTTCTCCCCGACTTGTCTGATCAATAATCTTAGCCAGTGCTAGGCTAGCTCACTTTAATGACCACATTAATAATGAATCATCTCCAATGAGGAGCCTACTCCAGCCTATTAATGGGACCTATTGTACAATCATTTCTGCTAATGGCCACGTTGACGTGTGAAGTAGCCCCTCATCGCTGGTCGTGACATGAGCCACACTTGCTTTGGCCCTCTTGGTTTCAAATTGAGTGGAAGTCTGTGTCTGCTTTGTTGCTATCATTGTAATGCTATACAGTCTACTAAAAGCTGCTAGCTGAGCAAACACATGAAGTCACTGGATGAGGTCAGCTGGCTCACTTCAGAGCCTTTCTCTTCTTCTTGAGTGATCCTGCTGATGTGTTTCAAGTGCACCACGTCAGGAAGAGTTTAATCCTGCTAGTATCAACCATGAAGTCATATAGTCCACTCTTTAGAGTCGTCATCGTCACTTGAAGCTATTCTACGGTACAGAGGGCTTTTCTTACAGACAGATAATTCACAACTATAACCCTATTCAGAAACTTTGTGAGCACACACAGAGAATTAAACGATTCTGGCACGTGTTTTACACCCTTAGAGAATTCATTTTCTTAATATTGTTTCCACTATTGATTTTCCCTCTCCTACTCTGTGTGTGATGTTCACACTTCTATCACATCCATACTTGACATTCCTCAACCAACACTACACATCTTTTCAGACACATTGGCATACAGTACAGACAACCACAGACACACATCCTTGGACCCATGTGGACACACACATACATGCAGAGGAAATTGCGCACACAACAGACGCGGCTGTTCTTCTGCCTGTCGGCACACAGTGTAAATTTTACATGAGAGCTAAGCCGGTGTGTGGGATGTCACTGTGCTTGCTGTGTGTGTGCCAGAACAAGGAGGCTGTGTGAATGCACTGAACCTGAAGTAAAATGGCATGTTTATTTTTTAACCATCCAGTCTCCTTGCATTTTTCATTCAATCACAAATTCTGAGAAGTACTGTGTAAATCCACTTGCACTGTAAGACAGATCCTGAACCTTTGTACACAAATATGAAGTTAATGTGTATTTGGATAGACATAAAAACCGAGCTTAGATGCCGTTTCACTTGGGTAGAAACCTCTATTCATTAAGATTTCTTCTCCATAGCAGACTATATTATGATGATTTGTATGCTTTGTGATACTCGTTCATATCACTATGCAATACAATTCGCCATGAAAGCTCAACTGAATTACATTTTTGGGAAATTAAAGGAACATGGCAATTATCATTTTCCAATCATCTAGGTAAAAGATAAAAATTGATGATTAAAGCTTTCTTGATACATATATTAAAGTATGAGTGAGCTTACGGAATTTAAACTACACAGATTTTAACATTTCAATTTTAAATTACTGGCAGAGGTTCACAGTATGCCTTAAAAAGGTCAATTTTATCTCTCGTTCAGCAGGTAGTGTATCACTTTGTATTGAACTAGATTTCAGGCAAAGATAAGATTACTCATCGAATGAACATTTGAACACGGTGAGTCATTGACCTGATAATGATGTCACATGTATGTCTTTGGTAAGATCAGTTATAAAAAGAATATTATAAAATAGTAAATAACCACAAAAAAAAGTAAATGTAAACAAAACTGAAACATAATTTGTGTATATAATGCATTATATTGTATTGTATTTATCTTTTATTTTATTCCGTATAATGGAACAACTGTCAAGAGAAGCTTCTGTTTCTGATTTAACAAGTCATATAGTTAGCTGGCTAACTTTAATACATTATAATAGTCTACGTTAGTTCACCAACCTAATAATACACCTATGTTTAGACAAGCGTCAGTTAGTAGGCTTCTCTCTGGGCTTTTGACATACAGCCACACCATTAAAGCATGCTCTCTGTGTAGCCCATGTCATTTGTGTCTCCTCAGCAGCCTGAATATTGTTTATGAATTAGCAGGCAATGGTGTTATTTTCCACTAGACTGTGTTGGGGATGTTTAGGAAAAATATATATAAATGTTTCTTTAATTAAAATTACATCCCTGTTTGATTGTCAATGCTAGTGAGCCATGTGACAATAGCTGAAAGCTTTCAGGGAGATGCAGTTTTGTAGTAAGAGACAGCAACATTGAAATTAAATTGTGAATAATAAAGACAGGCTCTATAACTTTGCACATACTGTAACTGCTCATTACGAGAACAGTGAGCATAACTCATTAAATCATGTATTGAATGTACTACAACTACAACAGAAGAATCCCAGTATCTGGCATTATTCCAGCTAACAATGAAAAACAGCTACAGAGCAATTCATCACCAAAACTGAAGAACTGAAGAGTGGGATTAAAAGCTGCAGGGCCTGACAAATAGCGGTTGGTAATACTGATGACAGGATCTGAAGACGGACAACATAAATCTGTAGACCCATCCTTCATGGGAGTAATGGGAATGTTTCCTAAGCACACAAAAGGCCCTTCAGTAGCAACTGGGCATAATTTGAATGTCACAGTCCACTGTAACATCATTGGTACCATGGTCATGAGCATGACAGTTCCAGGAAAATGGCAACTTTACTTATTTTTATTTCCAGTGGGCTGCTCAGGCCCCACATTTAAACGTAATAGAGCAGCACTTTGGGGGATGAAGTGGCATTGGATATCCAACGCATCGTCTCAGTATGTTCTTCTGAAAAAATCTGCCGAATCAAGTCCTGTAAACTGTTTCCAACATGCAATTCAGGTTTTCCTGAGGCCAGCAGAATTAAAGGGTTATAAAACTAGAAGGTCACTCGGAGAACAAAGACCTCTGACAATGTTTCTATAAGCGAAAAATTATACAAAATTATACATCCCCATGTTTAGGGTCTTTTAAACTAAATGATGGTTTTTAGTTGCCTATTCTACACCATACAACTAATTGTTTTAAGTTATAATGCTAACAAATCGAACATTTTTGGTGGGGGTAATCATTTGTATGTCTTTCCGTTTCATGTCTTGTATCAAATTAAGGTGTTCACTGTTGCATAATGTATTAGTCAAGGGTTTCATATCAACATTTTCCTCAGAAGTATTCCATTCAATCAAAAAAAATGTGATCAATTAATCTGGATAAAGGCACGACATTACATACGAAGCATCTGTAACTTCAGTGAATGCGAATGCACCACATACATTAATGTGTGCATTCAAATCCTATGATCGACAGACACACACTGTAGCAGCAGCAGCATAATCTGCTCTAGAGGGGCAGCTGTGGGTAGAGGCATTTGTTTTGGGGATGATTTGTTTGTTTGGGTCCTGGCACCCAGATGAGTAGTAATCAGAGGAGTTAGCAAACAGGATTTTGGTAGCCATGACGCCTCGAATCCTCCCCCACAGGGCCCGGGCCCAAACAGCTCAGCGCTCTGGCATCAGGGCCTAACTGACACACGCACGCACAAATACCAAAGCATGTGATGTGACTGATATAAATGGTACTGAATCGTTTCATGTGATCCAATATTAACATTTTTCGCTCCAAGGTGAAGGAATACATTTTAATGGATTTATTTAGTGAAGGTTTAGGATATCAACTGTTTTATCTTGGTTTGTTTAAGTCGGTCATTTTGTTCTCTTTTGATATCTGCTATAACTCCCTCTCTTTTTTGTCTTTCCTCGCAGGCCTGGTAGTGAGAGAGGCCAGCATAGAGATCACTCGGCAGCAGGTGGAGGAGCTGTTTGGGCCAGAGGACTTCTGGTGTCAGTGTGTGGCCTGGAGCTCTGCAGGGACCACCAAGAGCCGCAAATCCCATGTCCGCATCGCCTGTGAGTATTCTCCCCTCCCTCCATCCTGCTCTTCAGCCCATTATTCCGTCTTTATCGTCTCTCTCATCTTTGCGTTGCTCTCCAAACAAAGTCTCTCGCCTGCCAAGGAAATGCGTCTAGCAGACCGACTTGTGTATCGTGTCAGATTTACAGATTCTGGAGATGGAAGCAGTGAAAAAAAGGTTTTACTAACATGGGACTAAAGTGTCCCTTTGAACTTGAGCTGGTAAAAAGCCGGCAGAATCCAAATCAGCTTCCTTGTGTACAGTATAACCTGGAGGAACAGGGAAGAGCTGCTGCAGTGTTTACACAGAGGCTGCGGCACATGTTTATGCCAGTGTTCCCTCTTCTTCCTGTAGGTGGTCCTCATTTGTTGTCTGCCTGTGCGTTTGTCCTCCTACTGAAATGCATCGCACACTGGTTTCCGAGTAATGACAAACATTTTGTTGCCTCTAAACTTTGGGCTCATTTTAACCGTTTCCCAAAGGATCTGCCAATCAAAATCTGAAAAGTAATGAAACCCCAAAGGACACGGGGAGGAAGGCAGAGTTATAATTTTAGTTATAGTTGTGACATCAAGGGAATGCTTCTGAAAAAACAACACATTGCATATAGTAACACAACAGCTTACACATTGTTGTCAAAACTTCACCGGAAGGGACTTCTTTTACCTAGATCATCAAACTTTCAATCCTGTCTTAAGTTATTTCAAGGTATCGTGACTGACATGTCCTGTTTTGAGGCAAACAGACAGAGGATGCAACTCCGGCTTGCAGTATGCGTTTTAGTCTGCATCAAATATACTGCTGGATAGGGCTTGATAGGGATATCACTTGAGCTTAATGTCTGGCTGGCAACTCAGTGCCACTGTCACAATGATTTTGTTTTCACTTTAAGGTACAGCGGAGCAGCACAGTACGGAGTCAATATCTACGATTTTCACTTCATCTACTTAGAGGCAGTTGGCAATCATATACTTGTCCCTCTCAATTGTTCTCTCATCTAATTCTCATTTTGTTCTCTGCATCATTGTATCTCTTGCTCTCTTTATGCTTTTTTCTGTACAGTTTCTCTTTGAATTCAATGTATCCCATCCATTTTATTCCTCTCTACCTCTCTTTCTAGTCTCTATGCTTTACCCCTGTTTGCTGTACGATGTATCTTTGATTTCAGTGTATTCCCTCTTTTGCAAACACCAGTAGCTCTTCTCATTACGGCTTATGTTATACTAGCCTGGTGAATCAGAATCATCATGCACCCGTCTCCCGCTGAGCCCACTCCCGCTGCTCCACCTCCTATAATCACCCATGATGAGCAGCCTTCCAGCACTAACCTATCCCTCAAATCACAATGGACCCCTCTTCCCCTCCCATTAGCCTCCGCTGAATGGATTAGCTCCTCTCCTGTGCTCTCTCTTCAGGCAGGCTTCTTGTCAGAGCCAGGCTCCATTCTGTTAGGCTAATGGAAACTGGGCTTGTTTTCGTCTCCTCTCCCATCATCTAAACATATACAGTTTAATCAGACTGTGAGTCACAGCCAGCGCTGGCGAGTTGAGCGGTTGTTGTGTTGAAGAACTGGCTTTTAGAATTGCGGAAAAAGACCACTCTGGCTAAGAGTATAGTCGGAGTTTGTGTGTGGCTGTTGGACTAAGAGAGAATCTGTAAATTCCCCGTGATTGCCTTTTCTTCCTGCGACCTCCACAAAAGCATTTTGATTGGCCTCCATAGTTTGGGAGCAGTGATTGCTCGCCAAAGAGAGGCAATAAAAGCATGTGCACAGAAGCAAATTAAATAAGTGAATCAAATCAACTGAAATGCCTTTCAAAAGATTGCAGAGGGTAATGTTTACTGAGAAAGCTGGAAATCAATTTTCTTGTTTGTTTGTGGCCTTTTAATTTTACGAGTACAACATAGTAAAACCTCAACTTTAATGCTGGTGACGTTACTCATTATTTAAAACTTGGTAGACTTCTTGTCATACTTAAGTTTGCATCAGTAAGTAATGATTTACTAAGAGGGGATGTTTCTGAATTGTGAGGCTGGTGTAATTTAGCATGACAAGTAGCTAAACATATCTACTTAAGGTAATGGTTGTCATATGTGTATCCTTCTGAGGGCGTGCAGGGCAGAAAGTGGTTGTCTGCTGGGGAGGGAATGGTGTGACTCCCGCAGGAATGTCGACTCAGCTGGTCCCACACCCTTCAGTGTCCCACAGTATACCGTTCAGGGTTATGAGAAGTGTGGAAAGGAGAGGGGAGCCATAATTTGAAACCCACATCCAATAAAACATACAGTACAGTGCAAAATAATCACTTGCATGCTACTTACTGCGCTTCATCGTGAGTAATGGCAAAGGTTTGCAAATCATGATGGAAATAACACAACAGAAACTGGCTTTTTAATTCTAGTTTAACAAGCTGTAGTTGTTCTGCTGAAAGAAGTATGAGTAATAAAATCATGAATATTTCAAATGTACTCGCAAACACTGGCCATTATTTATACAATATGTAATTCAGGCTATTTTTTTGTAATGTTCAGTACAGTTTTACATCAGCTGGGTAGTAGTTGTGGCTTGAACAGACTGGATGAGAATAAAAGAGTAAAAACATGACTGTGGGTTTTCTAGCAGCACAAACAGGAATCTAACCGTCCAAACAATATTTAATTTGAATCTGCGTGAATTAAAACGTACTGTGTTCCCATTACTAGAGTTAAGGAGGTTGTGTGGCTCCGTAATCAGAGTTTTACTTCGATTGTAAAACACTCTAGTCCAAGCTGAATCTGCTGTGGACCGTGCCAAGGACACCGCCGCCAGTAAAGTGGCTACTGGTCATTCTCAACCACTAAATGGCATACTGCATACTGAGCATCTAGGCCAGTGCCCAGCGGATACTTGCATACTCTCTAGAAGCTTTACTGTATATGTAGAAATAGCATTTCATGTATTACATTTGGCTGTTTGCTGCATATCAAGAAGGAGCTCCTGCTGTTCCTCCTCACCAGTCATACTGTAGCTATTACTTTCTTATATCTGTTGGATGCAGTTTGAACTAGTATCCATGTCTACAATACAATTCTGATATCCAGTCAACAGTGGGAGACCTCTACTACCTTCAACTACAGTACCCCTTTGATACAGTTTTGCTAATTTCCTATCCTATTCATTACCCTTCCTCTCCATCTTAAAAAACAAACAGTTTGTCCTTGAATCAAATTCCACAAAGCTATTTCCCAGAATATACTCCTCCAGTCATTCCTTCTTTTAATTTCATTGCAGACTTTTACTGAAATTGCATCAATTCAACACTCATGCTTTTAGATTTTATAATACATTAAAATGTGTGGAGTTATGGCATATTCCCCTGAAGACACACACACACACACACACACACACACACACACACACACACACACACGCACGCACACGCACACACGTGTTGAATTGGGACAAGGGAACTCATTGAATTTGTTATTTTAAGGTTCATTTCAAATAAAAAATGAACCTTAAAATGACTATAGGTATTCTTTGTGGCCCCCGGGTGTATCCTCCTGACGATGTATTCTGTAATGCGAACATGATATAGTTTCTCCTAAAGGCAAAGTGGAGCACTATGCTCAACAGTGAAATGTCTCAATTTGAGTGCAATGTCTACTTATGTAATACCCATTGAACAAAAAGGAAAGCAAGTGATGACATCGTATTGTACCTCCATCTTGATCAGGTTTTAGGTGATGGCTCTTTTTATCGCATGAAGTGATGCCTAAAATAAACTTTTGTGAAAAGGTTCTGTCCTTACCATAGCTGTTCATTGATGAACAGTTATTTATTATGATAGACACTGTAGCATATTCCATTTCTATAACCATTGTACCCAAGAATATTAGACTTGTAATGGGCAGTCTTCTTTGATTTTTAAAGCACAAACTCTGCCATACAATCTGTGTCACTGCACATCTGTAGGTGCTTCAGTCTACCCTATACTCGCATGAATTCAAAACCAATTTGCTATTGTAAAGCTATCTAATATCATAAATCACTTTTTTATCCAAGCACACCATGTCAATAGTTGCCCATTACTGTATTAATGGTGTTCTTTGAAGAAGAATTGCCTTATCTTTTCCAAAGATTGAATCACTAAAACACGTCAATTCTGGGTTTGTTTCCATGGACACAGTTAGGTTTAGGTAGAAATGTATTGGTACAACAAACTTAGAAATAAGAAAATAACACAGACTCCCAACCTTTTAGTTTTACTGTTGCATCCTTTGTGCTTTTTTATTAGAGCTGCATCGCACATAACATGTATATCTCTCGCTTAGTTCAAAGGTTTGAGCTTCATTATATGGTTCACTTTATTCTCTCAGTCTCTAGTTCTCTCTTCTCTTCTTCTTAAGTCATTCTTATCTTGACTTATCTTTTCTTAGCAGAACTGCCTTGCCTTAGCGATGGCAGAGTTCAGTTCACGCCACGTTCTATATAAATGTTATGTAAGAAAAACATGTTATTTTAAAGCATACTGTGGTGGATGTGGTTACTGCTTTAGATTGAATGTGTCAGTTAAAAGGCCAAAGAGTGTTTGCCAGGAATATTGTGAAGGCTTTAGAAATGTTATATGTGGAGTTTGGAGGTTTTGATTGTAGATTTGATGCTTCAGTGACTCCAAAGCTCCCAAATAGTACTTCAACTACCCATTAAGTCAATTTTCTCTCTCTCATCCCTCCCTGATGTTGTTGTGTATGATGCCCGCTGCCCCTGTCTCAGTCTGTGCAGCAGGTTATGATATATGTCTAATGGGCTTTGGGTTTCAGTGTAGCATGACACCTTCAGTAATCCTGCCCTGTCAGCTCCACTATGTCTGCCCTGCGCTACTCCATCAGGGCTCTCACTCCACAAAAAATTTGTATTTTATTGGAGCAAGTCTCCTTATCTTCCTTCTATCTACTACAGGCAGAGATATCTGTGTGCTGAAGGAGAATGGCAGTTAGAAAGAAATCTAAGTTACTGTTTCCAACATTTAAATACACACTGTGTATTTCTTCTGCACATTATTATTCATGAGTTATCCTGCATTTCTTGTGAAGTTTTTCTGAGAATACTAATACTATTTTATTGATTGACTAAGCATTTAACATTAAACAAAGCTGTCAAAAACAACCCTCATATCTACTTGTCACTTATGTAGAGGTAAATATTGACATTTTCTCTCTGTTCATTGTAGACTTGAGGAAGACATTTGACCAGGAACCTCTCGGGAAGGAAGTGTCCCTCGAACAGGAAGTGCTCCTCCAATGTCGCCCACCTGAAGGCATCCCAGCTGCTGAGGTAAGACTGAAAATACATTTCTCTGAGCCAGAGAATTTTAGTTATAAGGACAATTGTATTTTTTGTTTGAAAGGATTAGTTCTAATATGCACTCAAACATATTCACCATAGAAACACAGGGAGTTGTGATTATCCAGACTAAGCCTGGTCAAAAGTTCTCGCCTCAAATCCAATAAACTGGTGCTTAGAAAAGAGGTTTATGTGAAGAACTTCTCTGAATCTTTTTGTTTTGTTTAGCTTCTGCTGAAATGTCCCCATCATTTCTGGTGAGTTTTTTTAGGTATATAATGGATAGGCTAAACTGTTTAACTCCCACATAATTGTTTGTATAGCATAGGCTATATAGTCATTAGCATGTAATATATGTTTTGTTAGTGTGGTTCTGTTCTTTTATGATATAAAAGGTGGAAACTGTGTGGATAGCAGAATTTTCCTCCGTTGTGAATGCCGTTTATAACAGAAGTTGTAATGAAATAACGAACTGAATAAATCTGACACAGTCCAGCGCACAGATAAGGAAGTCTTTTCCATCACTGCCAGGGCTATTAAAGCTGTTTTGGTATTTCCTGGACATCGGCCAGTCACTGGAATTTGGTCTGAGGGAGAACATTTGTAATTATCTGCTGTAGGGGGGAAAACCAGTTGTGTTGCTGTGTTACCTTAGTTCAGCCAATATCGCCTCCCTGCTCTACTTCCTTCCTGCCTTACAGTGGAGCGCTGTGGTAGCTGCATTTGAAAAGGCTCAGTTGAGATTGCAGGAACATAAATAGAGGATGAAAGGGTGGTTTGATGGGTGGGGTGGCTTTGGTGTATTTTTTTTTGAGTACGGGGTGTTGGGACTGAACTCTGTTAAGGCTTGTGATTGACCTGGAAAAGCCGAGTTAAGTGAGTGGAACTGCACAGCATTTATCCCCGCTGAAAGTGCTGACAGGCTAAATGGAGGAAAGTTTGGGACTGGCACTCGGCAGACTCTCCTTATACAATCCAAGCTTCAGTCTGATAGTGTTGCTGTAACAGCCATTTAGTATTGGTGATTTTGCCGCCTGTCTGAGGCCTCTCTGTCAATCCTGGATTGGCTCAGTGCAGCTATTAAAGACTCAGCTTTGGTCCAATCATGACACATCTATGCTTTTTGAGATATAGAGTTGCTGTGGCAACCCAGATTTACAATGAATGGTAATTACTGTAGGAGGCTTGTCAACATTAATAGCAGTTTTCAGACCGGGTAAAGGTATGTGCTGTCAAGGGAATTCAGTGGTGTTTTAAATATAAAGCCATCTATTCAACAAATAAGAGGAACATTTAGGATATGATGTGTGGCAATCCACGTCTTAAAAAAAGAAACCAAGTATGAATGGATTAAAATTCTCCCTGCATGTCCATATTCTCGCTGAGCGCAATGTTTATTTTCTCTGTTTACTTTTCCTTCTATGATCAAGTTGGATTTTGTGTGTGTACAAAGGAACTTTTTCAGCTCCTTTAATTACCCATACTTACCTAATGGCTACACAAAAGACAACAGTTCCTTTCCACAAGTTGTTTTTCCTCTTTTTTCTCAGCTCAAACCCAGCTGTCTCAGTGGAAAAAAGGACAAAACTGAATGCTGCTTTCTCATCTGTGTTTGTCAGGCCTTTTCTCACACATGCCTGCAGTAGAAAAAACTTAGGAAAAAGCAGACGGGCTAAGTCTGTGGTTACATATGAATCTTCAGCAATGTGTAGCAGCCGTTGAGAAGGGAAAATCTGTCATATATCACCCTCTCAGAGACAAAAAATAATATAGGGGGGATGAGAGAGGCTGAGGGAGAGGAGCTGTTGAGGTTTGTCGGGGTTGGATCCAGTGGGCTGTTGTCAGGCCTCCAGTGGGCTGTCAGTCCGCTCTGTGGTTCCTGCAGGCTCTGCCTAGCGAGGGAGAGGCTGGCAGGATGGCAGGCTGTGGCTGAGCCATAAACCCCGTACACTTACAGCACTTTTGTAAAATCATGTGGACTGGATGTGATGGACATTGTGCTGTGTGGCAGGGTTCAACATTTCTTAAAGAAGCCAAGCTGCAACCACACAAAAACTCACATTGCAGCATTTCCACACGGATGTTCTTATGTTAGAGTACCATCAAGGGCATTGTCTGCTCAACTCAACTGAGCACTGAAAGTCTATTCCATCTATTAAATAGTTTTATCGTGGCTGACTGTCTGGAAAAAATATATTTGCTGATGATGACCTGAAAGTTGACACATGCTTTTGTTGCCATCTCATTATAAACGTAAGAGTTTTTTTGAGGAAAATCTCTCACTGCAGAGAGTTTTAATCAGTTTTAATAAAGATCACTTTTGTTATGATGTGCTTTGATGCCACATTTATGCAACTGTTTTTTGACGATGAGTAAGCAAAATAACTCACCTACACAAACTTTTACAGCGCTACGAAGCCCACGTTCTGGAGAATCAAAGATAGTCAATCACAATTTGTTTTGATCTCAGATTACAAAGTGGAACTGCGCTACTTGATGTTATCCAGTGTCAGTCTTGTCTTTCCACTTTTCAGATGATTTGCATTATAGGTTTTCACTATGGTTTACCACAGTAATGACGTTCTGTGATTCTATTTAAATGGTTTTGAGTCTTTGTTGGCAGTTTGCAGCAGCTTTTGCACTGACATCTAAACATTATGCTGAATAATAATGATTGTTTTTTGATGATGCAGCAGCGTTTCCTTACAGAAGTTATGAAAGAGTTCCATTCAGACATCTTAGAGGTTTTCATATTAGGAGTTGAGTCTGAAATATCCTGGCCCTTATTTTCGACAGGTTATTCACACTTGATACATTGGTTTTCTGGTGTGCAGATACTCCCTGAGACGTGGAATACACACACACACACACACACACACACACACACACACACACACACACACACACACACACACACACACACACACACACTAAGAAAACAAGCAGCCTGCATTTATTTTGGCTCTCCTTGAGACCGTTACCAATGGAACTTCGGTCTCCGGCGCTTCGATGACTGAAATACTGAGAGTGAGGTTTCATAAATAGCACAAGGATTCAGTCATCTGAACCTCTTGTATGGTCTGAATACTTTAGACACTCACCAGACTCCCTAAAAATCATTGTTACACTTTTCCATTTCCGTGAATATTTGATAAATGTGAAATGAATAGCAGAAGGAAAATGTAACTGTTGAGACTATTCTAGGAAGGATAGGAGAGGGAGTGATTTGGCAGCAAAGGCTCAGTTTCTGTGTTACGTGGTCTCAGTTGCCGAGTGCTGCCCATAGATAGAGTAATAAAGGTAAAGATGGGAATGGAAGACTTTTCATCTGGCCAACACTGCTCATTCTCTTTGAATACCTCCATGAAGCTCTTTCATCAACATCTTAAGGGCCTCTACAGAAAGCCTCTTTTCATACTTAATAACATGTGGCAGGCTCATAAAATGGACTTAAATCTCCTTTTGTGGAATGAAATGTGCTTATTGTTCCTTCGTCTTTTCTTCTCCCATGCCCTCCATCTCCATCTCCACTTCAGTGCACTTGTCACAGCCCCGAGAGAAAGACAAGAGTTCAGAGGTGATGCAGCACCGCAAGCTGCTGAGCCTGTTTCCATGGAACCAGGATTTTAATTCAGGCATCCCCTCAGTCAGCCGAGGTCCTGCCGTGTTATCATGGGTAACAAGTCATTGATGCTCTGCAGGGAAGAGGCCCTGCTGCCATGATTAAGTCCATTGGCTTTACTGAGAAGAAAGCCAAGAAACACAAAGATCTTTACTTCACACTCCCTCATACAGAGAAGTGAGAAAACGAAGTCCGATTAATTTAGACAGCTGGGACAGGAGCCAGCCCCAATTTCAACGCTTTCACATGCAGTATTATGAATCCATGGGGAAAGCAGATTTGCAATTATGCTCAAAGAATATTTTCTCACTTTTTGTTATTGACTCAATGTGTCGATTATGACCATTACGTGTTATGTTAGATAATCTGATCTAGCAGGAATATCTTGACTGTGGAGCATTATGGAGATCCGGCATACATCTTGACCACACATCAGACCATGTAAATGTCAGTGATTTACTGTTGATTTTAGGTCCAGTTCCACATAACAGGCGCAGTGGAGGCATAGCGCAAACAGCAGCCCGTGAGGTCACCTTGTCAAAAAATAGCTGAGTGCTTCCTCCTAGTTGAAATGCTAGAGTGTAGTTAGGAGAGGGCCCAGGAATGTCAAGAGTAACAACACTTCAGTACCCAGTGAAACAGGAAGTGCATTTTCATTAAGGTTACCCATGGGAGAGAAAGTGTCAGGAGGCCAGACCAAATCCCTCTGGAAACTAACCAAAGATTGCCCTTCAGGCACTCACCTGTCAATCACTGCAGTTTCCTCCTGCAAATGCTGTGATTTACTCTATTAGCCAAACATGTGTGAGCTGTGCACGTCACTGCCCTTCCTACTGTTACCTACAATGGGTCAGGCCTTAACAAACATTTACATGCATAACTTACGACTGGAATTTGTTTTCTTTCTGTGCCTATGTATTTCATCGGACCATATGAGAAAGAGGAGAGAATATTCATGATGATAGGACTGAGATAAGAAGCACTGTTTCGGGCTCTAGAAGGATGCAAACATGTTAACCTATACACAAAATCAAAACCAAAAACGATACCACAAGGATACAAGACCAACAAATGTCCTGAAATCCTCCTCGCCAGTCTTCATGTTTTGATGCACAAGCCTTCACCATTTTCACTTAAACACTTTCTTTGTTTAGTTGCAAAGGAAATAAAATGTGAAAGATCTAAATTGTCAAAGCATCCTTGAATCACAAGGAAGCTGAATTGCTCAATGTCAGTAGGTATTTTCAGTTAATGACGTAAAAATGAAGGGTTTCTCACTCGACATTTTTTTAAGCTGCTCAAGCAGAGATTGTGAATCAGTTCAAGCATTTTAATACATATTTCTGAAGGTTGCATTTTATTCTAAGAG